TACATTAAATAGATCATACCTGATGACCAAGTGGCTTTTATTCCGGAGATGCAAGGATGGTACAATATTTGCAAATCAATTATGTGATACATCACATAAACAAAATGAAGGACAATTATCACATCATATCAATAGATGCTGAAACAGCATTCAACAAAATCCAGCACTTATTTTTGATTAAAAAAAACACACACAAAAACCTCTCAGCAAAGTGGGTATAGAGGGATCATACCTCAACATAATAACAACCAAATATGGCAAACCTACAGCCAACATCATACTCAAAGTGCAAAAAATAAAAGTGTTTTCCTTAAGTTCAGGAACAAGACAAGGATGTCCCCTTACACCCTCTTATTCAACATAGAACTGGAAGTCCTTGCCACAGCCATCAGACAAGAGGAAGAAATAAAAAGCATCTAAATTGGAAAGGAGGAAGTAAAACTGTCATTATACACACATGACATGACATTGTACATAAAAAACCCTAAAGACTCCACCAAAAACCTAATAAATCTAATACATGAATTTGGCAAAGTAGCAGGATACAAAATTAATACCAAAAAACTGGGGCATTTTTATACACTAATAATGAACTCTCAGAAAGAAAAACTAAGAAAACAATCCCATTTACCAGTGCAACAACAACAAAATGAAGTACCTAGGAATAAATTTAACCAAGATAGTAAAAGTCCCTGTACTCAGAAAACTGTAGGACATTGAAGAAACAGAGGAAGATACAATCCAGTGGATGCATATACCATGTTCATGGATTGAAAGAATTAACATCATTAAAGTGTACTTACTACCCAAAGCAATCTATAGATTCAATGCAATTCCTATTAAAATACCAACAGCATACTTCACAGATCTAGAACAAATATTCCAAAAATTTATATGGAACCAAAGAAGATGCTAAATAGCAGTAGTCATCTTGAGAAAGAAGAACAGAGTAGGAGGGATCACTTTACCAAATATCAAATTGTACTACAAAATACCAATGGCATATTTCATAGATCTAGAACAAACATTCTAAAACTTTATAAGGAACCAAAAAAAGACCTGCCAAAATTGTTACTATCAATAAATCAACAAACAACACGTTATGGTGAGGGTGAGGAAAAAGGGAACCCTAATATGCTGCTGGTGGGACTGAAAACTGGTGCCGCCACTGTGGTAAACAGTATGGAGTTTCCTCAAAAAATTAGAAACAGAACTGCCTTTTGACCCAGTGTCCCACATCTGGGAATATATCCTAAGGAACACCAATCATAACATATGCACCCTTATGTTCATAGCAGCATCTTTACAATAGCTAAGATCTGGAAAAAGCCCAAGTGTCCATCAGCAGATGAGTGGGTAAAAAAAAGCTGTAGGACATTTACACCATGGAATACTAGTCAGCCATAGTATTTGCAATAGAATGTACGGACCTAGAGGGTATTATGCTACGTGAAGTAAGCTAGTCAGAGAAAGACAAGTATCATATGATTTTACTTACATGTGGAATCTAATAAATAAAGTAAACTCACAAACAAAATAGAAACAGACTCAGGGATACAGAGAACAGAATGACAGCTGTTTAGGGCATGGGGGTTTGGGGGCTGCATGAAAAGGAAGGGGAAGGGATTAAGCCAAAAAAAAGTCTCATAGACATAGACAACAATATGATGATTGCCAGAGGGAAAGGGGGAAGAGGCAGGTAGGAGAGGGTAAAGGGGAGATAAATGGTGATGGGGAACTTGACTTTATGTGGTGAACACACAACATAATATATAGATGATGTATTATAGAATTGTACACCTGAAACCCATATAACTTTATTAATCAATGTCACCCCAATAAATTCAATAATAAAAGAAGCTGTTCAACAGAGAGCTAGAAGTAAAAGTAGAAAGAATACCCTTATCTCCCAGGTAGCGAGTTAGCCAACAATGGCTAGAAAAGTCATAAGGAAAGTAAGTTAGCAAGATCCCTGGATGATTACTATGTATTGTCCTATGCTGAGATGTTAAAAATGAAATCTTACCCAAGATTGGTATAATTGTTAATGCCAAATACAGTCAACCCTTAAACAACATGTGTTTGTACTATGCAGATCAACCTACACCAGTTTTTTCAGTTTCTTTGCATTGGATCTTGTCCCACACAGACTGACTTTAACCCTAGGCCAGCCATAAGCACTGGTATTTCTAGTTTACAGCTTTTTCCTGGCATAAGTGTTCATTGCATTCCCTTTTACTCTCACACGCCTATAGTTTAAACTACAAGCTAGAGAGTCCTTGTGTCTGTAGCTTGCAGTGCTCAGAGTAGGAGCTCCCAGAGGACTCTGATCCCAACACATGAACCTTACTTCATCCCTCAGTCCCAGCCTTCATCTCTTGACTAACCAGTGGTAGATGAACCTAACCTCTGTGCTTCCCTTCTCCTGTATTCCAGCCACTTCCCTCTTTGACTGTGCCTTTCCCAATATGTGGGCAGAGACATGGTGAGGAGAGAGAAGTAGAAGCATAGGCCTTGGAATGGGAAGAGATTTCAGTGGGGATGGCAATGCAGAAATGAGCAAATACTGAGTGCTACAGTGTGCCAAGCTTTGTACCAGACAGTAAACATGTGACTGCTCCATCAACCTCACAACACCCTCAGAAGCTCCCCATCATCTTCCTCTTCTGCAGATGAGCAAATTAAGGTCCAGGGCTTGTGTGACTTGTAGGCGACAGGGCCTGATCACCCTGGCTGAGCTCCACAGCTGTGCTCTCCACTGCTCCCTGCTTCTTCCATCCCAGGACTGATTAGAGGCAACCAAGTCCACACTACAGCCTCAGAATCCTATCTCCTTGACACTATCAACCCACTTTATGGAGAAAATAAAGCTCAAGAAGGCCACTCAGCTGGCAGTAGTGGCACAGGGATTGAGCAGCTCTGACCCCAGAGTCTAAGCTCTTCATCACCATATGCTAATTCGCCCTGGCACGCTTTCCCCTGGAGCACCCTAAACTGCTCAGGTTTACCTGGGGGAGAAATAGGAAAACTGGTATTAGCTAGAAGGCGGCATTTATTATATATGGATTTTAACTGGCTTTCTTTGGTCCCCATTGGTATATATAACCTTATATTGTTTATTTTGTTCCTTGAGAACAGTTCAAAGGGGGAAAATCCATATACAGAGCCCAGGTCCTCAGCCCTGCACACGGAGAAAGGAGATCTCTAGTTTGCAAGCACAGACTCAGTGGCCATTCCCAGCCTAGCCCCGCAGGTCTGAGGAAGTCAGTTGTCTTACAGGCATATCAGGCTTCTCTTCCTTCCTGTCTCTCTCCTGCCTGTCCCCAGTTCACCCTGGGTGGGAGCTCTGCCATCCTCCCAGCCACCCCCCAGCCCCGCACGAGAAGAGCAGGTTTATTCAGAGAAACTTGGAAGCCATTTGGCAAAAGGAAAAGGAAGCCATTGTTAGCTTGCAGTTGGAATCACATAACCTTTTCTCTCTGAAACATTTACATTCACATCCATATCTCCCTGTTGCTACAGAAAATCGAGGAATCTATGCCCTGCACTTGGACGATAGAAAAGAGCCCTGCAAAATTAGCAGAGCTGCAGGCCTAAAAGGAGTGTCGGACCCTTTCCTTCTAAAACAAAGTCTGGCTGTAAGCAAAACGGAATTTCCATCAAAATGGAAAGTAGGAATAAAGCATGAAAAACATAAAGCTTTCTTTTTTAACTGCAGGTATTATCCACATCACCCCACCACACAGGAGTAACAGAAGCCACCGCGCATTGTTCCTGCCAGAAAGCGTGAGCATCTGCCTACGAGGGTGGTGCAGTGGCCGGCAGCCCCGTGTACATTTAAAGGGGAACATTTCCAAACTGCTGCGCCTGAACGCTTACCTTTAATTTGAAACACGGAGCTGCCCCTAGGGAGACTAACCAAACAAGCAAATTGGGCTTTCAGCCACACCAAGAACTCACTTTTCTGATTAGGACATTGAGAAGCTCTATAGCCCTAGGCGGGGAGAACCAGGACGGGTGGGCTTCGGCCCCAGCCTGGCCTCTGCTACATCCATCAACACCGCAGCACACTTTTTAAAAGGAAAGAAATCCCTGCGTTGGGTTCTGCTCTGCTTTGTAATCTCTGTGACGACCTCCATAGTTGGGGGCTAAGGATTGCATGAGGTTTCAGCAAACAGCCTATTATTACTTGAATAAATGTATGGTTGCAATGAGGGCTTCATTAACATTATGAAAATTGGGGCCTGCACATCCTGAGTAGTTGCTGGTGGCTTTCCACTCTGCCTCTTTTGTCAATGCACTGCCTGAAATCTGGGGGATAGTGAGAGGGATTATTTGCACATGCTAATCAGACCAGCAGAGAGCCATGGCTTTCTCTTATCCGAACAGCAGTGAGGGACTGTCAGAGGGGTGTTGGGCAAGGCTTTTATGGGGCCTTCCTACACAGGCTTCACTGCAGAAGCCACCAAGTCCTCTCCAAGTGCCTGTACAGGCGGTGCTGCCGAAGACACCAATCAGCGCTGAGACTTCTCTGAGAACGAAGCACAGGGTGGGGCGGTGAGAATTGTTAATCAAGCCTGTACTGGACTGTAGGTGTGACTTTGTGTTTACATCATCTCCAGGGCATGGCCATGTGGCTACCACTGTCTCAAGCCAGGTCTAGGAGAAAGTAAACTTACCTCTCTTCCAAGTTACTTCTGAGCTTGAACGTGTGTGTGTGTGTGTGTGCGCGCGCCAGTGTTTAGAGGGAACCAGGGATATAAATGTACTTTAAGATAAACAGCATATAGACATGTTAAAGAGGGAGCTTAAGTTAGCTCTTATATAAATAAAATTTAGCTTAGTAAAGAGTTTTACAAGGTACTTGCAAGGCAGAAAGGGCCATGCATCCCTTTGGTGCAAACAGCAAATAGCAGAACCAGTAGATCTAGGAAAGTCTTCCCCAGGCTGAAGCATCACCAGCTTTTCCATCTCCCTATGAAGGATGGAGGGTGTCTCACCTTGACTTTTCCATAGCTTCCTTTGGGAATGAGAATCTTGTAGCCATTCACCTCCACAGAGAGCTCCTTCACCCAGGAGACAGCTGAGCCCCCCCGGTGTTCATTCTTGGCCTCCACACTGAAGAAGGGGAGGCTGGAAGTCTGCAAACACTGCCGGGCCAACAGGTAGGCACAAGAGCCTTGGAAGTGGAAGAGGAAGCCATCGAAAGTGTGATAGTGTGGCTCCCCAAACACCACACAAGTACTGGTCTCCACGGGGCTGCAATAGAAGAATTTGCCTTTGGGTTCGCACACTTCATAGGGACTACAAGAGGCCTCCTGGCAGTAGATCTCATTGTTGAAATCCAGACAGCGGCACTTGATGGTACAGTTCAGGTCATCCCAAAACACCTCCCCTCGCCGAAGGAACTGCCCTGGGGAACAATGACACCAGAGCCAACATTTACTGAGGACGTACTCTCTGTGGCAGCACTCGGGTAAGTGCTTGACTTGTACTACACCATTTAATCCACTAAAGAAGCGTATGAGGTGTTGTTGCCCCCACTCGGCAAGTGAGAAACTGAGGCTTAAGAGAAACTGAGTGACTTATCCAAGATCAGTCAGTGTGAAGTCAGGGTTCCAAGAGAGTCTTTCTGAATCCAGCCTAAGCATGATCTTTTCCACGCTGGTGAGCACATTTTCATTCAAGGAAAGACACATTGTCTGAATCCCCGGGAAAGGCTCTGTGCCCCAGGAGTCACAGCCCTCCTCTCAGCACCAAGAGTAGAGGTCCTCCCAAGGAAGGCTGGCTCGCCCAGGTGACTCAGCAACACTGGTCACTCGTTCATGCACCCACTCATCCAACAAACATTTGTTGGGGGCCCAGTATATGTCAGAAAAGGTTAACAGCATGAACCAGGAGTCAGATGTACAAATTTAAATCCCAGTCTTCCATGGTAGATTCAAGAAAGGCCAGACCTCTGGGTTGGCACATTCCAGGGCTCATAAATCCTACAGATGCTGCTTAGGCCAAAGTTACAACTACACAAGTTGTTGCCTTCCTCACTCTGGGCCCTGTCCAAGTGCCGTGCCTTTCTCCCTTTATCTGCTGGACAGAACTTGTTGACAGGACCTACGTCCAGAGGCACATGAGGTGGGGGGAAGGGAATGGTTTCAAGGAATGTGCTAATTTTTAAAGTATTCACTGCTACTTACTTGGTAGACAATCAGTCTTTAAAACCATTTTCCTAAATAAATTATCTCCACCCCAAATTTTTGAAATTTGCCAGTTGTTAAGATCAATCTTCAATTGAAATAGGGACATCTTAGGGCTGAGGGCTGTGACAGTCCTTGGTTGGGGGCAGAGTCAAGAGAACTGGGAAATGGTCACACTCAGCAGTCAGCTTCCATGACTACGGACTTAACTTCCACCTGGCTGTCTTCTGACCTGTGAAATGGGGACAATGCTGTTTCCTCATTCCCACCTCATGGGCAACAGTGATGCTATAAAAAATTGGCACACACTGATAGAGGGAGGGGCATTGGTAAATTGAGAATGTCTGAAAAGGAAAGAATTAAAAACACAACATTAAGAAATATAAATAATGTCATAGACCAGAAGTAACTATAGTTTGAAATTGTAGTTTGAAAAGATTTCTCAAGATTTTAAAAAGCTGACTACATAGTGAACAGCACAGGCTGCAAGGTTAACCCAACCAGAAGGCATGGGTCCTCGGCCGTGGTCCTTTCTGTCTCTGTCCAACAGGAAAATTGTATCTCAACAGGCAATTGTGTCTCAGACCTGTTGAGCATAGGGCCCCAAGTGGGATAATAGACCTGTTCACCTTCCCAGCAGGTGATATGCATCAGCCTTGAAAAAGGCCCCTGAGCCTGATGCCCCCGGCACCCATTCAGACCGCAGGCACTGCGGCAGCCTCCACTCAGTACCGCACAGTCTCTGCCTTTTCAGACTTCAGTAAATGGGAGGCAAGTGCCTTTGAATAGACGAGGTTTGGACCAAGAGATAGACTCTCTGAGATCATTTTCTTTGCAAAATGATGATATAATAAACCAGCTCCACACAACTTCCCCTGCTATCACCCAGGCCAAGTGCCAGGCTCATCAGACTGATGTGTATCCAGCGACACATAAAAATGCGCAGCGATTTGTATAAGGCTCTCAGATTTGTCCTGGATACAGAACCCGAAGCCCTAGGAAGAGAAAGAAGTCCAAGTGGGGAGTTTGCTCACAGCTGCCCTCCAGCCAGCACCACCGCTCTCGAGCCAGTGTTCCCGTCACCACTGCTGCGCGGCCACCACTGGCCACTTAGGCTGCACAGCCACAGCTAGTCGGCTTTGTGATGCTTGGACAAAGGGGAGAGGCACTGGGTAGGTCTCTAGTCCAGGCCATAGAGGGGAGAGAGGTGGTGGGGTGTTGGTCCCACAGACCCTGAGTGAAGCTGCCGTTATAGTCTATAAGGGAGGAGTGTACAATCCCTGAAGTCCTGGTGAGCTCTGGAGCCAGATTATTTTCTATCTCAGCCCATTTGCTGCTATTCTGAACATGGAGGACCTCAGAGTCTGCAGAGGTAAAGGTGTCCAGGCAGAGCATGTTCACAAGTGACCTTTCCTTGCAGCAAAGGCAGAGGTCAGGCAGGGACTGGGGGTGGATGGCGTGGCCGTCAGGCCAGGTGAACGTGGTCTTTCTGTATATTGTACCACTTGAAGAACCTGAGGTCTCCTGGCGTTGCTGAGACATGCAGGTCACCAGGAAGACAAGAGACCTGAAAACTTCACCCCAATCCAAACCTCTTTATAGACCTAAAAACATTTCCCCAGGGTCATCCTCTGCGCTTCCACAGCTCCCTACCCTCCTGCCTATAATAACATCATTGTCATTTCTGTGGCTGACTTTTCTACATAGTGGTGTCATGCGAGGCGAGGGCTCTTTTGTCTTCAGCACCCAGTAGAGCAGCTGGCACCTCATTGGTGCTCCCAGGATGCTCTTTGGAAAGATGCAGCGGCTGGATGGCTGAAAGGATGGGTGGGGACGACTTACTAATTCTAGTTGCTGTCGCCTCCACTCCTAGGAGCAGACGTATTAACAGAAATCCTGTTTTCAGAATACTTTTGGACACATAAGCAGCAGGATTCTGTAAGCAAGGATGTTCCTGTGAGGCTCCTGGGATGTTCTGCACTTTGAGAGGTTTGATGGTTCAGAAAAGGTTGTAAAGGAAAACCCATGAGGTTCAACCAGCTTGTCGCACACCCCTGAGGCCAGCTTCGACTCCGCCCAGATGCCGGCATGTTTTCCTGCTGCTGGAAGGATTTCAGGAGAAGCTACCCTAAAGACTGTGACACATTTTTTTCTTTCTTTCCTTCCTTCCTTCCTTCCTTCCTTCCTTCCTTCCTTCCTTCCTTCCTTCCTTCCTTCCTTCCTTCCTTCCCTCTTTCTATCACATGGTCTAATACTGATTGACTCTTGTAGAGCCCAGTCAACGCTCCAAGTTCGCCCACTTCTGTGGGTCTGCAAAGTGCCGATGGCAGAGCAGGAGCAAAGATGAGAAGCACACTAAAGGGGGAAATGCCGACAGCAATACAATGTTGAACAGAAGGGCCCCCTTCCGTCCCTCTGGCTGGGACATCACTCAAGATCCCCATCTACTTTGCAGTTGTTCTGAGCAGGGAACTGTGATCACACCCCAGGCAAGAACTTCATAAACCGCAGTGTAGCACATGCAGGAGTTTAGCTCTTGGTCTGATAAATGTGCACACGAACGTCACCATGATCTCCATCACCCAGCTGAGAGATGTCGGGAGCATGACATCGGATGTGTCTGCCCTCGGAGCTTAAAAGCATGCCTGTCAATCTAAACTCAACAAACTCTGCTTTGCTGTAGAGAAGAGGAAGAACCTTTACCTCTGGAGGTGCAGCCATTGGCTGGGTCGATTTCTTTCCCGTCAACTTTAAATGCCCATCGGCCTGGAACATTGACATTTGTGGTCTCCTGGATATTCACAATATCAGGGGTCCTTGACCCAGGGAGGCTAAAGTAATTGGTGAGGTTTCCACCGTTAAATCCTGCCTAGAGCACAAAAGGAAGATAGGACTTTTGAGCACAAACACTACCCCATTGGTTAACTTGCCCAAATACCTTGTTTTCAGAATCTAGGACGCCTGAAATCAGGAGACCCTGCAGCTCTGGGCCATCATCTCAGGTAAGAAAGGCCTGCCTAGTTCATGCTACACCCAGATCAAGGTATCGAAGGTGGACAGGACTAGCCTCCCAGTCTACCTGAAGATCATACATACTTACCTAGTTAAAAGCTGTGGGCAGGACTCCCTCTAGGCTGCTGAGAGCATAAGCAGAGTGCAGTGCTTCAGAATGTGCGGAAGGATAGAACGGAGAACCACCCACCTGCGCCATGACTCCCCGACCGCCACCCACCTGTGCCATCACTCCCTGACCGCCACCCACCTGTGCCATCACTCCCTGACCGCCACCCACCTGTGCCATCACTCCCCGACCGCCACCCACCTGCGCCATGACTCCCCGACCACCACCCACCTGTGCCATCACTCCCCGACCGCCACCCACCTGTGCCATCACTCCCTGACCGCCACCCACCTGCGCCATGACTCCCCCGAGGCCCGTCAGGGGGTCCCCGCCGCTTGCCGTCCCAGTGGTCCAGTTGATTTCATAGTAATTGAAGAGGGTGAATGTATAGGAGCCGTCAGACACCAGGACGGCCTGGAAGGTGTTCACCTGCAGGGCGGAATGGATGGGCTCATGACTCACTCCCCAACTGCAGCTCCCTTCACTCTGCCCCCCCCCAAGGAGTTCAGAGGTGCTGCGGGCCAGCCTCCNCGGAATGGATGGGCTCATGACTCACTCCCCAACTGCAGCTCCCTTTACTCTGCCCCCCCCCAAGGAGTTCAGAGGTGCTGCGGACCAGCCTCTCCGCTCTGCCTCCTCTCTGAATGTGTTCTCACCTCCAGTGGGAAAAGCAAGATATGTGGGGCAGTGCACCTGAAAGAAAAATTGCCTGAGAATAACCGAGAGGCTGACTCAGCAGCGTCCCTCTTCAGCCTCTGACCTGCACCACACGGAAAACAGGCCCGGCTCAGCCTGTGATGTCCGCAGGCGCCTGCAGACGGTGGCCTGAGACTAGAGGACAGGAGCCGGTCGCGGGAAAGGAGGCGGCCCTGTGGGGAGGCTGAGCCTAAAGCGCTGCTATGGCCGGCTCTCTCACTCCCCAGAAAACACTGACCATCTGGGTGACAGGTCTCCCCTGTTTAAACTGGCAGTTGGAAAGTGACCTTTATAGAGCACCTTATGGGGAAAATGGCTCCTCTAACTGAGCACTTATGCATCACTTGTATCTGCAGATTCTCAGTACTCATCTGTACCTCAGACCAACAGTAAGATGGGAAATTTTGGGGGCCACTTCCATCTTATAGCTTGAAAAACTGAGACCTAAGGGAAACGAATTGCTGGAAATCTCACAGTGACTGGGAACAGGAAACACACTGACGCCAGGGCTCCTGGCCCATCTCTCAGCGCACTGCCGGGACGGCCTGTCTCGGTGCTCAACTTCTCAGGACAGAGATACTATATAAGTCCAAACAAGCCTTGCAGTTTCTAGAAACAGGCTGTAGCAAAAGCTGTCCTTTACTACTTCCCTTTGGTAATCCCTGCCCCTTGGCGCATGTTTTCAGGAAATTAAAATAAAAAATAGAGTTAAAAGGAGAGGCTGTTTTGACCTTTCCCGCTGAAACCCAGCACGTCCCAGCCGCCCGATACCATCCTGCTTAGCATCCTGTCAGATGCAAAGGGAGACACAGATCCTTATCCTGTGTATTCAGGCTGGGGTACAGGATCTTGGAAGCCCCAAATCGCCCATCCTGGATGGTCTCAGGGAGGGAGACAGGTGCGAAGAAAGAAAAGCCCTTTTTGTAATTGAGAACTTTCTCCTCAGCTCTGTGGTTGACACAGTTGATGGCGTTTATGATACAGTCACCCAAGAATATGCCTCTATTCTTTGGCTCTGCTCAACCAAAAAAGAAAATGGGACAAAGAGACGAGTAAGCAGTTAAAGATTGCTATAAGGTCACTGCAGGGAGAGGTTCAAGAGACAGGCACAAAGTCAAGGTCACACAAGGACTAAAGCTAAACGCTCCTGTACCCCAAGATTCTCCTTCAGGAAGTGAATTCCTTCCTTGAAATGAAGTTGGAAATATCTCTGGTCCAAAAGGTCTTGAGAGCAACCTTTTTCTGATCCCAGAAGCCACCTCAAAAGCAGCCAGCCATCCTAGCAGCACTGCCCTGCGGCACATCATTGCTCCCCCTCACACACCTCTACCCTCCTCTCTTCCACATTAGTTTTAAGACTTGTCCAGATCTCCTTTTGTAAAACCATGTTTTCAATGCTTAAAAAATCCTCTTATACTCCAGAGGACTTCTAATGATACCTGGAGGAGCCAGCTGAGAAAAAAGTTCAGGATTCAAAGTTAAACTTGAGTTTGAACCCTGCTCTCCCTTCTCTGAGGTTCAAATCTCTTCACACTGGGAAAGTTATTTAACCTCTCTGGGTCTGTTCCTTCAGCTTAAGTAGAGAGAATGGTTATTGTGGAACATTCTGAGAGGGCTAAAGGATATGTGAAATTAGCCTATCACAGAGCTGGGCTCATAGTGAGCCTTTGGTAAATATTCGTTTTCCTTCCTAAAATCACACGTCTCCTCCCCTCCCTCCCCTCCC